GGCTCAGTCGTTAAGCGTCTGCCTTCAGCTCAGGTCATGATCCCAGGGTCCTGGGATCGAGCCCCACATCGGGCTCCCTGCTCTGCGGGAAGCCTACTTCTCACTCTCCCACTCCCCCTGCTTATGTTCCCTCTCTCACTGTCTCTCTCTCTGTCAAATAAAATCTTTAAAAAAAAAGAAGATGGGTCAGCCTACACTGGCCCTGGGTCAGGGGAGGACAAGAGCTAGGCAGCAGACTTTGGGAATCACCTGTATGACATGAGGGGTGCTTACAAGGCCCCTGTCCCAAAATATCTGCATTTCCAACTAGTCACACTACAGGAAATCCCAGACATTTGTACAATTTCTATTCATTCTATATTATAAGCCTCTTGCTGATAGAGACTATTTATCAGTCATGTTTCCACCCTAGAATCCAGCATCTGTTGCAGGGCCTGGCATGTGTCAGAAGTCATCAAGCACTATTGGATTGACTCAGATGAGCTCCTCTTTAAAATGTAGGCTCCCACTTTCTAAGTGTCAAAAAAAAAATATGAAAAGGCATGGACAGAATTAAAAGCTAAGAAGCACAACAGGTTGACAAGACTAAAAAGTGCTCTTAAAAATCCATAAGAAAAACACTATTATTCCAAGGAGAAAAATGAACAAAATCCATGAACACTTTCAAAATAAGAAACACAAGCGGACAGTAAACATGCAAAAGCTTATGTAGTCCTCTTTGGGAATCAAAAGAATACAAAAGAAACCAACCATATGTATATTTTCGAGCATCCTCACTTTGGTGTTTGGAGACACAAATTGACTTACTACCTAGACTAGGACATGTCTGAGACTCCCTTATTATTCCTCCCATCCCAAACTAGGTAAGTGAAAAACTCAGGCTATTTCTCTGTTTCTCCTCCTCCGAGTACAAGGCAGGAGGGCCTAGGTTTGGCTCAGGGCTTAGCTCTCCTTCCTACTTATTGGCTTTATACCGTCGAGAAGGTCACTTCACTAGTCTGAGCCTTGGTTTCCTCTTCTATAAGGTGGGGGGGGGGGTGCCTTACAGACAGTCACAGGACAGAAGGAGCTGGTGAGTAGCCTGTGCTAACACAGTGCCTGACACGTAGTAGGTCATTAGAAGGCTCTGACTTGGTGCAGGCAGCTCCAATCTCCCATCTTCCTTCACAAAGGCTCGGCAGCTTCACTCACCTCCTTCAGCCAGAGTTCCGGCTCTTTAGTCACTCCCTTTCCTCTCCCTGGCCTTCAAGTCTCATGGTTTCCCAAACCTCACTAACTTGGAGGATTGAATCAATGTGACTCAGTACAGTTTCCTTAGCTACTCCCCTCAACTGGACACTTAGGTTATTGCCATTGTTTGTCTCTATAGGATGTTCTGTAAACCAAACTCCCGAATGAGGCAGCTTTCTGCTCGGAGAATTAATCCTCTGTGTTAACGAGTGTGTGAACCAGCCTGATGCCATCTTGGACAAATCTGCCATGATGACCGCTCTGTGACCTGGAGTGTTCTTGAGCACAGTCCCCCCACACACACACACACACACACCAGCACCACCATCACCACCACAATTCTTTGCTTTCGTCTAACCACTTGCATAATAAATTACCCTTAAGTATACACTTGGGGCATAATGGCCTTGATCTACTCTGGAGATATGGCTATGACACACAACTGTTCTCAAACATTTCCTCCCAGTCATCTCCCATTATGCACTCCCCAGCCTCTAGGACTATAAAATCAGGTCTTACAGGAGGTGGGGGTGTAGAGATCTACTCATCTTGCGGCCACCCAATGAGACACACTTCTGTCCATAAGGCCCCTTTAATAAACCATTTCTTGGCAAGCTGGACTTCGTCGGCCTTTTTCTTTGGCCTCATGGCTCCTTTGGCCTTTGGAGGTCACTCTACATATACTTTCCTTTCAGGGAATGTCTGTGTTAGTGACGATTAGAGACTGTCCCAGAGTCTCAGTGTTCATCATAGTCTTGAGATTATTTCATACATGAGTTTACATGAGAGATGTTTGCTTCTTTCTTTTTGGACCTGTTTCAAGAGACAGCAAGTTTCCTGAAACAATCCTGCCATCAGGATTTCTGTACTTTATGGAAGAAAGGAAAGGAGGGAGCAGAGGCGGTAAAGACGTGAGGGACAGAGGGAGAGACAAAGGGAGGGAGGCAGGCAGGCAGAGTAAATGCTCACTAGATATTTGCTAAATAAATGAAGGAACAATTTGGGGATCATTAGCCTTATTTTATAGACGAGGACCTGAGGTTCAGAACGCTTAGTTAGCTTGCCCAGAAATATAGTAATGGGGCCCAAATTTGACCTCAGTTCTTTGAATCCAGTTCCATTGCTCTTTCTCAAACACCTACTGGGAGACCCATTTAGCTTAGTGCTACTCAAATGCCAGTCTCCAAGGAGAAAGGGGGCATATGACAGAATGTAAATGAATACACCACTTCCTTCATCAGGAGAGCGTTGCTAAGAAAAAAAAACCTACCAAACTAAACAGTATGCTTAGTGACTTCATGTTCTGGCCAAGTTCCTAGTCTCCTTACAGAGAGGTCACCACGGGTAGCTGGACCATGGACCACACACTTGTTTTGTAATACGGGTCCTATGGATCCTAGCCTAACCACGTGGTTTGAAACTCTGCCTCTCTGTCATTTCAGATGCTCTCCTTGTCTGGATGGAGCCCTCAGGCACCCCAGAGTCCAGCACCTCTTTTGATTATGATTATCAGAGCTTTCTGTGTGAGAGCAAGACCTTCACCTTTGCCACCTTCAGCACCACCATCCTGTACTTCCTGGTGTTCCTCCTCAGCCTAGTGGGCAACAGCCTGGTGTTGTGGGTCCTGGTAAAGTATGAGAGCCTGGAATCCCTCACCAATGTCTTCATCCTCAACCTGTGCCTCTCAGATCTGGCATTCTCCTGCTTGTTGCCAGTGTGGATCATGGCGTACCACTGGGGCTGGGTGCTGGGGGACTTCCTCTGCAAGCTCCTCAACATGATCTTCTCCATCAGCCTCCAAAGCAGCATCTTCTTCCTGACCATCATGACCATCCACCGCTACCTGTCGGTGGTGAGGCCCCTCTCGTCCCTGCGTGTCCACACCCTCCAGTGCCGTGTGCTGGTGACCACAGCCGTGTGGGCAACCAGCATCCTGTCCTCCATCCCTGATGCTGTCTTCCACAAAGTGTTTTCTTCAGGCTGTGACTACTCAGAAAGCAAGTGGTTCCTAGTCTCAGTCTACCAGCACAACGTCTTCTTCCTGCTCTCCATCGGGATTATCCTGTTCTGCTACGTGGAGATTCTCAAGACCCTGTTCCATGCACGGTCCAAACGGCGCCCCCGGACAGTCAGGCTCATCTTCACCATTGTGGCAGCCTACTTCCTCAGCTGGGCGCCGTACAACCTGGTCCTGTTTCTGCAGACACTGCTGAAACTCGGGGTGATCCAGAGCTGCGAGCTCAGCCAGCAGCTGGATTATGCCTTGCTCATCTGCCGCAATGTTGCCTTCTCCCACTGCTGCTTCAACCCAGTGCTCTACGTTTTTGTTGGGGTCAAATTCCGCAGACATCTCAAACGTCTGCTCCAGCACTTCTGGCTCTGTGGGCACCAGGCAGCCAGCATTCCCCATCACTCTGCGGACGCCTTCAATTGTGAGGGTGCCTCCTTCTATTGAAAGGGAGTTTGGTGGTGCCAGTGGAGGTGGACAGAGCTGCTGGAGAGGGAGCAGGGAGAAGTGGGGCAGAAAGGAGCATCATGGAGGGAATGCCATGGCCATGGGGATAGGGGTGAAAGAAATACCTTCCACCAGCAGGTCCTCCACGTCTCCTCTTCTGCAGACAGTGGCTCTCATCTGGAAACTTTATATTGCCATCCAGAAAAACATTTCTTGGATGCTGAGTTCATCATTCATTCCTTCATTAATTCATTCATTTAGACATTGCTTAGTCCAGAAGCCTCCAAAACTTGGAAGGATTCCCAGAAAGGAGGATCCTCCAAGACTTTCTGAGGGTCTGAGACTCAATGTGTTTGCTAATTGTGCAGATGCAGGCTGATGGTAGATGGTCTGTCCCCTGCCCGCCTGGAGGGTTGTGCCAGCTGACTTTGGAGGGGTTGGCTCTGCACTCCTCAGTGACTGCTGGGTGAGACTGTTCTGCCAGGCCAAGGTAAGCACATCCTCAAATAAGTAAGTCAGAATGCAATCTGGATCATGAAAACCCACAACTAGATGGGAGACATGTTCCATGTCATAGCTCCAGTGTCTGCCACATGAACCAGCACCTGAATATTCAGTCCATAAATAATCTTTTGTGGAAAGAATGAATGCAATAAGCACCACCTTCTGCATGAAGCATTTGTTTGCAGGACATAAAGATAACGAGATACCGTCACGACCCTCCAGGTACCAACAGTCCAGGTCTGAAGGTCCAGATAAGTTAACACCCAACTTGGCCAAGGCATCCAGGGTGAAGATTCCTGCAACATCTCATCTTCTCTGGATGGATATTGAGCTGATACTTTAAATTCATCACTTTCTACCTAAAATGTTCTCCACCTGCTTGGTTGACAGCACCAGCTTCCCCCAGCCACCGACACTCCAAACCTGAGTCATCTCTGAGTCCTGCATTTCCCTTTCCTCCACTCCCACAATGAAGTCTTGTTGACTCTGCCTTCCCCATGTCCCTCAGAGTTGTTCTTGCCTATATTCATTGCATGCCCATGATTCCATCCCCAAATGACCTCACTTCCTCAGCATCCTCCTGCTGCTCATCCCTTTCCCCACCAAGTGTCCTCTGAATGGACACCAGGGTGCTTCAGAACCCTTAGTGGCTCCTCATTATATGCAAATAAAGCCCAAACACCTCAGCAAGTCTTTCAGGGCCCCTGCAATCTGGTGCCAATGAACTTTTCCATTGTTATTCCACCTTCTGCCATCACCCCCATGTAGCTCAGGATCCAACCACAAAAGACCACACCCTTCTCCCATCCTTCCAGACACCCTTCCCCCAGTCTCCTCTGGGCCCCCATCATGCGGTCACCGGGCCCTGGAACACTTGTCCTTCTACTCTGCTACCTACAAGCCCCAGCTGAAAGGCCAGCTCCTCAGGAAGCCCTCCCCTATCTGAAAATCGGAAGAGCACCCTCTGGCATGCTGTGGCACTCTGCTTGTCCCCTCTAAAATAGCATTTGTCATGCTCTGCCATGTGTCATAGTTACATTTGTTCTTGTCTTATCTTCCTGCCCCCTCAGACTGCAGAGTGCCTGAGGGCAGGAACCTGGTCTTGCACCCTGCCAAGCATGGGTCTTAGTGTTCTATCACTATGTATTGAGTGGGAGCAAAGAATGACAGCTGTCACTATTCTTCTAATTTATGCATTTTGGGGACCCATGCCTAGGGAACACAGTCTACCTTTCTTGCCTCAGGCTGCTAGTGTATAAATATTAACCTTTCTTCCCTAGTCTACGCTCTCAGAGCACCTTGCTTATCCCTCTCTGTGGCAATGGCTATACTTGACCTTCCTTTTTAGTTAGCGGTACACATGCCTGCCTCTCACACTGTCCCATAGTGTCACATCCAAGGACATAGATAAAACCCATCTTTGAAATTTTCCCATACAACACAGACTTTGTCCCAATCTGATTTAGCTCTGAAGTGGGGCCATTGTGATTCTGACCTGCACCCCAGTTAGGTATATTTGGCTGTAAGTCCTTGAAAATGAGAATTCCAGAGTCTTCCCCAGTCCCTTGAGCAGGACTTTGCACACAGTAGGCACTCAATATATGCCTGTTGTATAAAGTAGCTACTATTACAGCCCTCAGCTGGAGCCTAGAGAGCATGTAAAGCATTCACTCCTTCACTTCCAGCTATGGTTTCAATGATGCATTTGCAATTGGGTGGCCAGCTTTAGAGGCATTTTACCTGGCTGGGGAAGACTGAAGGTCTAATTTTAAAAATTAGGCCAGTAGCACCTGTTGGAGAGGACTGGGTAGTGTACCAGTGAAGGGATAAAGCTCTCATGGACTTGCCAACTAATAGGTGGGAACGTGACTCAGCACGGATAGAAGAGACAACAAAAGGAAGGAGACAATGAGGTAGTTGTGGGCTCAGAGCTAAGCCCCTTTCAAACTTAATACTCTTAAAGTTTTGTTCAACTTTTATTCAGAGGGCAGGCTGAGCCCAGGGAGGAGAAGGGCAGAGGACTCCAGCTCCAAAACCAAAGCAGTTAACCCCACTCTTCCTAGAAGGCAGGTTTTGGGGTCTTGCATTACTACAGAGCATGCCTTTTGAGAGGTTCGCTTCATTATCTCATCCCATCCCATTCCTTCACATCCAAAGATGTTTCGCTATTTCTTTCAACACATTCAGCCATACCCCTGAGAGCATGTCACTAAATACAATCATATCCATCTCCTTACATTTCTAGTGATGTTTTGTCATCCCCAAGGGTAGAGAGTGGAGTGTCTTCTCCTAATCTAGTTCCTTGGGAATCCAAGGGGGAAGGCACAGAGAAGCAGAGGTGTGAATGGGAAAACAGAGGGGCATCCTATCAGAGAGGGAGACGTGGGCAAGACAGCTGCAAAGTGCAGCCAAAGAACTGCACACGAGTGGCCACTCTCTACGTACCTTGACCACACCCTTGTTGGCCACAACCTCCTGCTTTCCCCCTCTCCACCCACAGAACCATGGTTCCACCTCAGCTAGACTCTTGTGGGCCTGTCCCTCCCCCTCTAGTCAATCAAAAGTGATCTGGACACAGGATTGCTGATCTCCTGCCGCTCCAGGCACATAAAACATCCACCGTGGTTCCTAGGGAAGATGTCTTCACAGCATTTCTACCTCCCCGCTCTCTCAGACAAAATCAGGAAGGGAGGAACCTTGCTGGTCTCTGACTAGGAACTCCAAGCGCAGGGCAGCCCCAGACCTCAGATGACCCTAGCCAGAGTGGAAGTTCCTCAAGAGCACAAGGCTCCTGTTGCAGGTCTAGAATCTCCCTCGGTGCCCCGTGGTGTTTGTGGTTGGTTGAGTAAGTGGATAGGAGACCATCTTTTTGGCTTTTTTCTACTTCTGTTTTTTCTTTCCACACTTGCTTACATTACATCTTCTGGTCAACCCCAGGCACCACCCAATGGCTTCCCACGAACACTTCCCTAGAGCCCATCAGCCCAGACATTGCCTGGTTTGCTGAACTTCTGACAGCTCTCATTTGTGGAACCTACCTGTGACAGGACAAGGAGGCCCATGAGTCTGGAAAAGCCCAGCAGAAGATATCCCAAAGTAGACTACCCGAGAAGGCTCTCAGGATCTGAGCCCTAGACCCAAACCCCAAATCCAAGCTCCTTTACTGACTCACAGTGACCTTGGGCCTCTCAGACCCTCAGTGTCCTCATCTGTAAAACTATGTATATGCCAACAACACAAAGACAGACTCTACCCACATGATGGAGGTGCACATGAGGTCAAATGCATAAAAAGTACTTGCTTTGCCAATGATTCAGCTCCAAATAGGAATTACTACTGCAATTGTCTCTTAAAGACAGAAAGCATCCTTGTATCGTATGCGCAAATAAAAGATTAGCACGTATGGACACACCTCTGGCTGTGTTCCCCTCATTTCTACCCAAGGTCATTATATAAGACTCCTACAATTTCTCTGCTTATGGAGGATCTGGGTTAGGATTTAGGGTGGAGGGAGGAATACAGGAGGAGGATTGGAGATAAAGTGTGGAACAAGCCTTGTGTGGCTCTGGATGGTGGGAAATTGGCTCTTTTTAGGCCTTAGGCAAAATCGTCCAGGAAGCCAACTGTGTCTTGAGTGCTCCATGGCTCATCTCTCCCCTGGCCTAAGTTGGCTGTCTCCAAGTCCAAGGTTTTTTCCTATTTCATGACCCATTCTGTCAGAATAAGGACTTTTCAGTGATCAGCCTTCCAATCAGAAGGAATGATACCCTTCATGCTGGGAATTTGGGGGATCCTGAAAACTTGGTGGAAGATACTTTGAAGGTTTGGGGGAAGTTTGGGAAGGGGAACAAGGGTTATCCTGAACTCCCCTCTCTACCTTGGGGCCAGCCCAGATTTTAGGTGTAAGGTGGCTGTAACCTCCTCTTCCATACCCCTAGCCCCTCCACAAAAGAAAGTGTGGGACCGAAGGACAATGGCAGCTTGGTTCCTTGACTTTGACCGTATCAGAAAATCAGACTTGAGCATCACTCATAGTTAGAGAGAGGATATGGCAGTGGGTGGGCATGGAGAACTGGATAGTTGCAAGGATTAGAGATGGGGCCAGGAGGTAAGAGGGGGTAGGTAGACCTCCAGAATGTTCCTGGCCACACGTGGAGGCCTGCTCTGTGTGAAGGCAGCAGGAAGCCCTTGTTGGGGGAGGGGTATAAGACCGCAAAGACCAATTAGCCCCATTCTCAAGTTGGCCAGGCTCTGGTCATTCCTATTTGGGGAAAGATTTCCATAGGGTTACTCTAGTCCCAGGGAATTGCTGGCCCTCTTTCCAGATGACTTGGATGAACCTTCTTGACTCAGAGAAAATTACATGGCTCGATTGTCCACACAATTGGGAAGGCTCACCCTGAAAACGTCACCTTAAACGTGTCATTAAAACCATTTCAAAGCACTTTGCAATGAACTACGGGAGTTTGGGGAAGAAATACCCACCTATATCTTTCCCCTCACTTTGGTTATAATTGGTTCAACAATCTGCCTCTGATTTTTTCCAATAGTAAGGATAATGTGAGTTAAAAAAAAAACAACACTGAACATTACTAATTTTTCAAAGTATCTTCTGTTTATTTGAAAATTAGAGGAAACCCACAAATATTGGTCTTTATAGGAAGTCACATTCACCTTTCTGGCTGGATCTTTAGCAAACCACTTCCTCTCCTTATTTACTCAGCGTAACTGGAGAGGTTTAAACTCAGTTATCTCTAAGATCCCTTCCTGTGATTAAAAAAATGAAGTGTATGGGTTTATAATTTCATGAGTTGCATTTCCATGAGGTTCTTTAGGGGAACAAACCTATAGTTTCTGGCACGTATGGGTTGAACTGTGTCCTCCTCCTACTCCCCACCAAATTCTTATGTTTAAGACCTAATTCTCAGTACCTCTGAATGTGACCTTCTCTGTAAAGATGGTTACTGCATACGTAATTACATAAAATGAGGTCATATAGGTGAGGACAGGCCCATAATCCAATAAGACTGGTGTCCCTATAAAAAGAGGACATTTGGACACAGACCGGGACAAAGGGAGAATGCCATGTGAAGACCGGAGTTATACTATCATAAGTCGAGAACACCAAAGATTGCCAGCAACCACTAGAAGTTAGGAGAGGCATGGAACAGGTGCTCCCTCACAGCCTCAGAAGGAGTCAACCCTGCAGACACCCTGATCATAGACTTCTGCCCTGGAGACCTGTTTAAGCCACCTAGTCTGTGGGACTTTGTTCGGCAGCATGAGCAGGCTAATATAGGGCACCAAACTCCGTGGGTATGCAGGGAATTCTCGTGCATCTCAGAGCCCCTCGTGAGGCTTCAGTGTCTACCCTGCCCACACAGAAGATTGCATCTGACTGAAGACACACACAGGAGATTGGAAACAGACTTTTATTGAGATCTGCTCTGTGCCGGGCCCCATTTTTACATCTCATAACCACCTTGTGAGGTTTCTGTTTCCCACTTAGACCAAGGAGGGCATCAGGGCTCAGAGGGGTCACATTCCAACATTCATAGCCCCAATCACGTGGGGTCACTGCCTGAGGCAAGAGGTCACAGCTCCGAGGATGTGGGGTCACAGGCCCTGGCCCAAGGGGTCACTACTCAGAGGACATGGGGTCATGGACCTGAACATGGTGTCACCGCCCCGAGGATGTGAGCTCACAGTCCTGATCAAGTGGGGACATGGCCTCAAGCACATGGGGTCACGACCCCAGGGACATGGGGTCAAGTCCTCTGGCACGTGGGGTCATGACCTATTCACTGGCGCCACGTCTCTGAACATGTGGGGTCACAGCCCCAATCACGTGGAGTTACAGTCCCGAGGCTGTGAGGTCACAGTCCCGAGAAAATGGCACTAAAATCTGACATTAAAATCTCTCCCATCCATAATATGTCACAAAACCTTTCAGACTGTGGTTGAAACAATGACTTTCCCTTTGCCATCCTCCCCCTCTTTCCTCTTCCTTTCATAGTTTTTAACAAGAAGGGAAGTCACTTCCCTGCCACCCTCACAAATTGGCTAGTCCATCCATCTAACCACTGATTTATCTATACCTAATTAATTTATAAAAGAGCACTAATGACATGCCATAGCCTAACCTTAACTAGGAAATCTATTTCCTTTCCTGTATGATCCCATCCAGGCAATGTTGGGGCCATGGCACCTGACTGGACACCGCCAGCTAAATCCTGTGAGATTGAAAGCTATTTCTAGATTGAATGGTGGGAACAAGGGCAGACAGTAAAGGATGGTGCAGCCAGAGCTAAGGAATGACAAGAGCCCAGGCTTCAGTCACAGGCTGAAGTACGCCGCGTCTGGATGCTCTTCTGTCTTGTGTCCATAGCAGACGTCATGAATGAACAGGTTTTGTTCTTGAGTCCATCCTCAGAATACCTTGCAACTTATAAATAGAAAATAGAACTTATAAATAGAAATCGGGCCGAGAGTGGGGCAGAAGTCAGGGATGGTAGTTTATTCATTAACATTTACTTTTTGAGCACTGAATTCCAGTAGGTCCCGGTGTTAAGAAGTGAGGGGATCAAAAGATGGGAAGCCCAGCAATACATAGTGCTTTTCATTTAGCCTGCCCAACGTATCAAAAATATTATCGTTTCAACATGTATTCCGTATAAAAGTAGTAAATAAGCTATTTCATATTATGTTTTTCATACGAAGTCTTTGGAAGTCAGGTGTATTTCTGCACTTACAGCCCATGTACGATTCAACTCGAACTAGCCGCGTTTCAAGTTCCCAAAAGCCGCACGGGGACAACACTGCTTTCAAGGTGCCACATAGATAATCTGTGGACACACGAGTCCGCGGCGACCGCAAGGCTTAAGCTAGGGCCGGTGGCACCGCGGCGCCAGTGGGAGATGCAGGGAGCGAACCAGGAGTCGTAATCGGAACCCCGGTGCTGTGGGGTCCGACGGGACTTGTAGGCATCGGCCCCTGCGGAGCATGACGGGAGTTGTAGTCCGCGCCCGCCTGCTGCGGCTCTGCGTATCATGGCGGGCCACGCCGCGCTACCGCACTCTTCCGCTGGGCCCCAGAAAGTTTCGCTTCTGCCCAGCGGTGGACCCACGAGCGCGTAAGTGCCGCGGGGGGCCGGCCGGACCTTGGGGGAGCCTGGGCCGCTGTCGGCCTCGGAGCTGAGAACTTCCCTCCGGGCGCGGCTTCTCACCTGTTGCCCTCACCGTCCCCGCCCATCCCGGGTCTCCCCCAGACCCCGCCGAGACCTTGCCCTTATCCAGCGGGTCTGGGAGGCACCTCGGGCCGGGGCTGAAACTAACCTGGAACCCAGGCTGCCTCCGGTGGTCAGTTAGAAAGACCCCCAAACACCAGTTCCAGGACCTCCGATGCCGAGGGGCCGGCAAGGAGCCCACCATATGGGAGTCTCAGAACAAGCCTTGGATCCTTTAGGCACAGGAAGACAGGTCCCCAGAGTTTCTGCTTGCATTGTCCGGGAGGCTGCTGACCTTAAAAAGCGAAGTTCCTGGCTTAGCTGGGCCGGGACAGCGCAGACCTTTTCATTTCGCCCTTCCACCCATAAGGGGACAATTCGTTCATCCCGGGCCATCTTCAGGCCGTGGTCCATTCTCCTTACCTCGTGTTCACGTGCAGGATCTCGAGATAGCCCCCCAATGATCTTTCCTGAAACACCTGTGGTTTTGGGCTTGTGGTGTGGCCGCCTGGGTCTTGGGCTAGATAAGAGTCCGTGCTATCCAGAACCTAGGGTGGGGGTTGTTGTAGGGGGAGGGCTGGGTTTTATTTTATTTTTGTGTAAGGAAAGTGTGTTCGGTTGACACATTAACCACGTGGTTCCCTGTTAATGCACATGTGTCCTCTGATGCCTCTTATCACTCCTCACAGCTCCCATTGGCTGCCCCCTCTAGAGAAAAATAGAACACTTACAGAAACTGCTTTGTGTTGGCAGCGGTCTCTGCCCCTCTGCTTGTCTTACTGCCCTTACTGCGGGCAGTTTCCTTTCCCACAGAGAAATGGGTCAGGGGCTCTTTGAGGGCAGAGGATCAGGCTGTAATCTGCTCACTGCCCTCCTGCGCCTGCAAGCCCTGTGGTCTGTGTAGAAAGCTTTACTCGCTTGCCATCTGCCTAATGCGGCTTCCCCTGCTTGTTGGTGCCGGGAAAGAGCCATCTGGCTGAGGTTTAATGCTTTCTGTGGCTCCCACCTTCGCAGGTGGGCCCGTGTTGAGTGGGTTCCACTCGACCCTCCCTTCTGTGACAGCCGCTCTTCATCAATTACTGAATGCCCTGTCCAGTTGTGGGCCATCGTTGTGATCATCCTGGAAATCAGAACTAATTGTTTCAGTGAAGGGACGTGGCCTTCTGTGATTACAAGGATCTGAAACGGCTCTTGCTTTAGGAAACAGATTTCCTGCTTCTATTAAAAGTGTTCATCTTTGTGTAGTGCTTCATTTAGCTTTTAAATTGTTTTCAGTATTTTATTAGGAGCACATAATCATTGCAAGAATTGTGTAGTGAACATGTGCCCACCTATTAGAGTCCACAAGTCGTATTCGACTTTGATTATTTTTGTAGTTGCTTTAGAGTCGATCCTCTAGCTACTCCTTGGACGGTTCTTGCTCCTTGTGGCTGGTTCGGGGGCAAAAGCAAGGATTCAGGAACCATGCTTTTAGCCTGGTCCTTTTAGGGGAAGATGGCCCCCACAGATGTTTGTGATCAGAGGAACCACCCCAAACAGACAAGATCAGAGTAGCTGGTGACATTGACCTGTATCAGTCACCGAGGCTGTGGGCTGCTGCCTCCAGAACGCGTAATAGGCACCCGAGAAATGGCAGTCCCTCTCTTCCCTTTAGGGGAGAGGTTTGGCTGATGGGGAACCTGTATTTTCTGGTGATTCCAAGGATGACTTTGGTGAGTCAAGACTGGAATGTCTTTAAACACGAGGCAGAGGAAGCATATTGCCTAGCTGTGGTCTCGTGGTGAAAATCACTGATAGGAACTCAGAGTTTGGGGCCACATTCACTGGAGCAGCCCCAGGACACACAGCAGGTCAGGGGCATTAACGGTGCCTTGTAACCAGCCAGATGCCGCCGGTGAGCAGAGATGAGTGGTGTTTGGCCTTGTCCGCATCTGCTCACCTAGTGAGGAATGTCACTGTGTCGCTCCAAAAATGAACAATATTTTCTACTTGTGATCTCAGTGCCAGTTTTTTGGAGTTTTTGTTTGTTCGTTCGTTTTTATTTTTAAAGCTTTTGATTGGTATGAGAGTCTCTGTTTGAACAAGTAAATAAATCAGTAGGGTGGATATTGAAATGTTTCCATGGGTCTGTCTTTAGCCTTTTGCTGCTTTTAGACATACTGTTTGTCACTGGACTGACCTATAATATGAGCTTCGGCCTCAGAGCACATGGGTTCATGGCTTTTACGAGATGAGGATGGTAGAGCGTGCTCAGTGGGGCAGGAGGTGTTTTCCCCGCTTCCACATGTTGGAGCCAGTCAGCCTGATGGTTTTTGTGACCACCAATGGTCCTCCCTGTTCACAAAGGCCTTTGTGGCATTTGAAAGACACCAAGCACCTGTTTCTAGTTTGGCCAGATCCTGTTTGCAGGGATGAGGATGTGTACATCAGCGTGGTTCTGAGGGGACTCTGTGGTCTGGTCTGGGGCCCTGGTTCCTGCAGCTGGTTCTGGGGCCCTGGGGCTGGTCTGGCTGACCACCTCAGGAGCCTGGGGTACTGCATCTTTGGCCTGGGGCAAAAAACCGAGTTAGGGGAGCCTGTGGAATCCAGAAGAAAAACCTGAGGTACAAAAACAATCCAAACAAGCCATAAGTATGCGGTGGGGGCGGGGGGGGTTGCGGCTAGGCCAAGAGGAGGATGCCAGGGGAGGTTCAGGGTGGGCTGGACAGCTGAACCAGGGGTGGTGGTTTCACTAGCAGCCAGAAGGAATTTCCTCGAGCTGAACCTGTAGCCCCATGGGCTGCTTCCAGGGCTCCTGGAGCCTTGGTCAAGAGCAGGGAGGGGGCACTTAGAAACCTCCAGGGAAGTTAGCCACTGGGAATGTCTGCTCCTCTCCTTCCCCGCCTCTTCCTTAAGGAGGATAAAGGGTAACCTCCCCACATTGCACGTGGGGGAAAAACCAAAACAAAAACACAGGGAAAAAAGGTCAAACAACTTCCCCAAGATAGACAAATTTGCTTAAATTGCCTTGAAAAGAGTTTGGTGAGCTGAATATAGCAGTCTCACCCAATCATGGCACTATCTTTATTGCATTACCCATTGCATGCTAGGGAATGGAAATTTCACATGACTAGTCGGATTCCAAAATCTGAATAGGGTGCAAATTGGCAAGCCTCAGCTACAGTTGGTAAAAGAGAGGACAGTTTTCTTGCCCATTGCCAAACTCCAGCTTCAGAGCCATCCTGGGTCTTGCTCGCGCCCTTCCTGTCTGCCAGCTTAGCCCCACCCCCTGCCGTCTGCACCCGGATGCTGCTCTTGTCACCCAAGGAGCACAGGGGAGCTCAGACCCATCAATACCTCCCCCACCCTGGGAGTGTTCCTGGTTGATGTTCCAGATCCAAAGTCCCAGGGATGCAGACAGGGAAGGGCTTTGGGAGGGTTGGGTGAGTGGGGGAGGTGGCCAGAGCGGCCGTGGTTACCCTTGTCCGGATAGGGTGAAGGAGGCTTCTGGGTAAGTCTGTCTCAGGCCGGAGCTGTGGGCACACTTTTGCCCGTAGACATGCTTAATCCATCCAGTCCCTAAGTTACATTATTCCATTCCTTCTTGGGATAATAATTCCGTAGTATTTCCACAATAATGACGGTATTAACATCTGTAATTACAACGTGATTTTTTTAATGCATTATTTTAGTCAACATAAAAGTAATTTGTGTCCAGTAAAGGAAAAATGAAAAATCAGAGAAATTAAATTTTTTGAAAATTTACCCATGTTTCCTACCATGGAAGGATGATTAGCATTATTTACATGTTGGTACATTTCTATGCCTAAAATTTAGTTTGGTTTGTGGAGCAAGAGTTTTGGGGTTGGTTTTGTCTGACTGATTCATTCCTTCAACAAGTAATTTATCGCGGGCTCTCCACGGATCAGAAGTGTGCTAGGTGCTGGGGAAATGGTGCATAGCAATGGAGCTTACAGACAGGTGGGAAGAACAGGTTAAACGAGAAATTACCATACTGGCAAATGACCACAAATGTGGAAGAAAGGCAGTGGGGGCTTAGAATCATGAGCAGAGTAGAATCTGGTTGCCTTCTGTGCTCACCTCCTTTTCATCCAAGCCCTTCTGAGGCCTTAAGTGATCTCTTATTTGTCTCTAAGCTTAGTAGGGTGTATGCTGTCCTCCCCTCTGGAGTGTGGGTTCCATGAAGGGCAGGGCCCACCGGCCTTGCTCACGGCTGTAGCCCAGCTCCTGGGTCAGGCCTGCATCTGACTAGTGGGGCCCAGCAAATCCTTCTTGCCCGGCTGGCAGTCTCTTAACACATACGGGTTACACGTGGTCTTCCTCAAGGCTGTGTTTAGTGCTAAAGCACATTCTATCAGAGTTTCAGTTCGTAATTCGTCCCTGGCTGGACTGACCCCCTTGATACTCAGGTCAGGAGAGTCGCCCGAGCATATGGTTCCAGAGCTCTGCAATTTTCTCCATCCGGGTGGGGTTTGTGCTGTGTGGGGGCTAGGAAGAAATAGGTGCTCCAGCTGAGCTCTCAAGTGTTCAAGCAACTGTTCTGAAGACTGCCCAGAGTTCCACATATGCACTCATAGTTTCTCTGGGCTTTCCAGTGGCAAGACCTCAGGTATGGTTGTGTGGCTCCTTTCAGAGCAGCTGCCCCCCTTCCTAAAAAAAGACAGCTTCCCCCAGACCCCCAGAGGCAACACTTCCCATCCACAGGTCTCTCGACCCTGCCTTTGTGGGCCAGTGGGCTGGAACTGGAACCAGTTCTCTGTGTGTTCCAGGGGCAGTGACCGAGAAGCCTGGAATCGTTGGTGGGAGGGCCAAGGCCAAGAGAAGGTTCAAGAAGTGATGGCAAAGGCTCAAGTCTCCACTCCCTTTACGAAAGATCGCAAGCAAGAAGGAGTGTGTGGGAAAGATGACCCAGGCATGCAGTTGATCAACACTTTAATTAGGTCTGAGGGGTTGGGTCGCCTCATGAGCCTCTGTTGACGTGTCTGCCTCTGAGCTGGGCTCTGACAGACTCCTGAGCACTCTCCTCGGCACCCTCTTGAGGCTCTGCTTGAGGGCAGCCTGCCTAGCGACCGCTCCAGGGCTGAGCCAGCAGGACCGCCGGGCCTCAGAGCTGCAGGTACCAGCCAAGTGCTCCCCCTCTCGAGAGGTGGCAACTAGTTAGATGCTGTTGGGTGTGCTGAACCAGGCCAAGGCAATGGACTCTTCCAGAAAGGCTTTCTGCCTTTGGCTGATCTGAACCGCCCTTGTTCACATTCTTTCTCTGTCTGGGTGGAATTCACCAGGAGTGGGGGAGGAGCCCAACTTTGTGGGCCTCTCCGGGGCCCTTCTCAGCTATTGGGTTAGGAGCAAGTACCACAAATTCTGAAGACAGGGCAAGGTTGTCTTCCACGCCCCAAACCTCCTCCTCCCCTTCGGACCCTTCTTTCCTTAATGTGACTAGTCAGATGCTGTGCTGCTCCTGCCAAAGCCGATTTCTGGGCAACATTATGAATCTGAGTCATTAGCACCAGAGTGTAAATAAGTTTACACGAGTCAGTTGGTGTTTTTGTATCTTAATTTGGGACTAAACTGCTCTCTCTATTGTTAGGGCATCTGGGCAGGTATAGGAGGAATTTGGAGTTTGGGGAAGGTTCTTTACCTCTAAAATAATACCGAAGCTATGACTAGGAACTCAGGCAATAGGCCCAGGTCATAAATAAGAGTTTTTAAAAAATGCATTTAGCCCCTTTTGCACTCTATCAGAATATCGGATGCTTTTAGACGTGCTGGATAAGCTTAAACATAATTCTGAGTCGTTGACAAGAGGATTCAATGTTCTTTTTATAAATGTTATGAAATTTTATGAAATGAATGTCTCTGGTATTTGAAAGAGCTTGCCAGAGACACGCGATGGAGGTTTTTACAGGTCCTGCAGCAAGGACCCTGGGTTCATGGAGGTGATTTGCGCTTTGGGGGTCTTGGGAGGTGTGGGAGTCCTGGAGTCATTCCCCTGGTGCTGAAGCAGCTGTGGGTGGCCAAGACGGTGTGGTTAGAAGCTCTGTCTCCTGAGTTACGAGAGCCGTTTGCTAATGCGTTGTCAGAATCAGGCAGCTTCATGCCTGAAGTCTGTGATCTCTGTGATACAATAAGAAATAGATATTTGGTGTTTGCCTCAGGTTCCAGCCACAGAGCTTCTGGAACCCTAGGAATTTCCTGAGTAATGGGAGTGTCTTTTGTTATTCATAACAAGCCTCTTTTAACCACACCTGAGTTTATGCTAATATGGTGACTCTGTGGGCCCCTGGATAGCTTTGGGATGGGGCTGGTTGCCGGAGGAACCAACCATGTGATTAGAGATTTGGACCTTTCAGCCCCACCCCAGGCCTCTGGGAGCGGAGAGGGGCTGAAGATGGAGTTAATCTCCAACGGCCAGTGTTTAATCAGCCGTGTCTCTGTAATGAAGCCTCCATTAAAACTCCTAAGTGATGGGGTTCTGAGAACTTCTGGGTCAGTGAACAGCTGAGGTGCTGGAGGGTGGGGAACCCTGAGGGCATGGAAGCCCCACACACCTCAAACCAACCCCTCCCTCCCCAAGCTCTGCATCTCTTCCCCTTGGCTGTTCCCAAATTGTATCCTTTAAAGTAAACTGGTCATAGTCGTGTTTCTCCGAGTTTTGTGAGCTGTTCTAACAAATTATCGAACCTGAGGGGGGGATCGTGGGGACCCCCAATTTATAGCCAGTTGGTCAGAAGGACAAGCAGCCTGGGACTTGTGACCAGCGTGTGAAGCCAGAGCAGTCTTGTGGACAGAGCCCTTGACCTGTGGGGTCTGTCTGCACGAACTCCAGGTAGTTGGTGTCAGAACTGGTTATTGGTGTGGAAAAAAGCCAATGTTGGTGTCAGGAGCATTGTGAATAAAAAGTCTCTCATCCCTCAACCAAAGGGCAAGTTTATCTCCAGACACAAGGAAGTGGACCACAGTGTGGGAGACATGGTGCCTCGTTCTGTGCCTTCCAGTGGTTAATAATGACCTCAGACCAGGGAAGAGGGGGGCAAAATGCTAAGAGCCATCCTTCCCACGCCCAGGAAAGTAGCATCCCGATGGTAGCCATGATCTTCCAAGGAGGCTCCGATTAACTTCATGAAACCCTGTGAGGTGGGACCCGTATCCGCCGTGGGGAAGCCCACCGGGACCTGCAGCCCCAGCAGCCAGTTTCCTGGGGCGCATTACCTGTCTGGGTGGTGACTCAGGCTTTTTGGAAAACCAGCTTGCGTCATCGGCAGCTGGGCCCAGCTTACCCCGTGACCTGGGAACTTGGCATCAGCGGAGCGCGCTCTGAGGGTCAGGTGGAGGAGGCCTCCCGCACGCATGCGGCCACAGCTTCCCCAGAGGGGCCGGCGAATCTTGAGCCCATTTCTGCCTGTTGAGGCCTGTCATGCCAGGACACCGCTTTGGTCTGCAGACCTCGTTTTCCAACTGGCCAGGCCTCAGAGAGGGCTGGTTTCCACTGTTGGTGCGTGGGCCCAGCCGGAGCCCGGGTGAGGCAACTCAGACCCTGTAGTTGGGGTCACTCTCTGCCCTCGTCCACTGTGCGGGTCTCACCCTAGTCTGAAGCGTGCACACGGCCCGGGGGCGGGGGGGAGCTGCTCTTGAGGACTTGGGGGGTATGGGTCGTCTTCCTCTCAGTTTATTTCTCCCAGGAACGACAAGGCCCTCCACTGACCATAGTCAAATGAGAGAAGTCGGGGAGAGAAGCTTCTCTGGGCTTGCTCCCTGAGCCCCCATCCTGGTGCCGTTTCCTCCTTGGGTCTCTTCAGAGACTTCACCCTCACTTTGCAGGCCTGGCCCAGCTCCATTGCCACCGTCTCTCACCCTCTCCCTCCCCCAGGCAGCATTAATTTTCCCTTCCTTAGGTCCCAGGGCATCTTCCCAAATTCATCAAAGGGCTGCCTTTTTTGTTGAGGCCCCATTCACGATCTGTGAGTTTTGACAAATACATGTTTAGCAAACACATACGGTCACGTAACCACCACCATAAGCAAGGCACAGAATGGAACTGCCTCTCCCAATTTCTGGAGACTCTCAGAGTCAAGCCCTCGCCTTCACCCCCAGGCCCTGGCAACTACCCAGGGGATCTCTCTTCCCACGTCTTGCCTTTGCAAGAATAGCCTGCAAATTGGGGCGCCCGGATGGCTCAGTCGATTGAGCGTCTGCCTTCGGCTCCGGTCATGATCCTGAGGTCCTGGGGTCGAGCCCCATGTGGGGCTCCCTGCTCAGCGGGGAGCCTGCTTCTCCCTCTCCCTCTTCCTACCTCTCCCCCGCTTGTGCTCTCTCCCTCTCTCTCTGTCAAATAAATAATTAAAAAAAAAAAAAAAGAATAGCCTGCAAATGGAATCATCAAGTATATAGCCTTTCAGGCTGGCTGTTTTCACTCTGCAGAAAGCATTTCTTGCATGTATCTGCGGCTCAGCCCTTTTCGTGGCTGAGTACCCATCACTTTTTATTCATCTCTGTATGGACCTCTCCTACCGTGTCCAGATATCTTTCTCCTTGGCGCACAGCTCAGCTCCTCCAGGGCTGAACCGTGCCTTGCGTGCCTCTGCGTCCCCAGCCTGCACATAGTAGGCACTTGACAGTGTGGTTCTGGGACAGCTGTGCATTGACAGCGAGGACCCTCTACCTCTCCAGAAGGGGCAGAGTGTCCTCCGGGGCCGCAGAGCCCCTGCAGATGTCTCTGTAGAGCCCTGGCTGGTCCCCACTTAGGCTCTGTGCTTAGCAGGTGACCTGGAGAGACGCCCAGGGATGGGTGGGCTGGCTTCTCGAAAACCACTCCCACCGTCGGTTTGGTGCCTGTGATGGGCAGGGTGCTGTCCCTTGTGAGGGGCCTTTGGAGGGCTCTCTGTGGATCCCCTGCATCTCTTGGACTCCATGTCAGGAATTACTGGGAGTGTGGTATCGGTGTGTGCCTGTCATTCCCCCTAAGCCAGAGAAGCCCTCTTTGGGCCTTGTTTGCACCGAGTCATTGCTGTGCTGGTTTTGTTAGTTAAAAATAGGCCTTGGCATATCCGCCCAGTGACAGGCCCTTCTCACTTCTGGCCCATGCTGGAATGCTTTTGTAAATATTTGGAGGAACTTGAAACCTGGGACCATTTCTATCCCAGAGTCTTCTCTCCTGTGGACACTTGGAGCAGGAAGGGTAATATGGCTGTGAGAAAGTGAGGGCCAGCACATGTTAGAAACACTTGGGGTGGCGGCACATTATTTGGGAGACGCTGGAGGGGGCGGTTCCTAGAAGCCAGGGGAAGTGGTTGGTCATTTGCAATAGTGACGACAGCTCAGCTATGGATCCACAGGGTTTGGATCAGACTGACCAGGGTGCAAACCACTATTCTACTCCTTACTGGCCCATGGCCTTAGACAAGTCACGGGACTTCTAGAACAGCAGGTTCTCCTTTGCACTTTATCTACCGCACTAGGGTGATTGTGAGATTAAAATGATCACATGTGTCAAGCACCTAACAGGGCCCAGCACCCGGCACACAGTAAGCCCTCATTTAGTGGTGGCTCCCCAATGGCCACCTTAGTCTTCCTGTCGGCTTTTGCCAGCAAGCATTGCGCAACCTCGCAGTGGACATCTGAGGAAAGAATTGGAGATTCTAAAGGAGGGACACAAGAGCGTCCCAGTACATATCCAGACTTCTTCCCACTGCCACTCATGTCTCCTCACCTCCATTGGTCTTCAGCCACTACTGTGTCCTTAGATCACTTCAGCAGCTGCCCGAGCATGGCTGGTAATTCAAGGACCCACCAGCTACAAGAGGACCGTAACCAAGCTTAAAATAGAGATGTGTCCCTAGACTGGACCTGAGGGCTGCGCCAGCCCCCAGTGCAGGCCAGGCGGTGTCTGCACAGCCAGGCTGAGCTGGACTTTGGGCAGCTGGAGCTGCTGAGCCCCCACGAGGGAGCTGCTTCCCCCACCAGGCAAGGCTGGCTTTCCTTGATCCCGAAGCCCCAAGGGTCCTCAGCCTCCCGCCTCCCCCGCCACCCGGCCAGAGGTTACTGACCTTCCTCGGAGGAAGCAAGCTGGGGGAGGACATGGGGCCAGGCGTGGGGGAGACGGGTCTGGTGGTGGCCAGCATCCGTCGGCTCAGCGGGCCCTCTGAGTGTGGCGTGTGGGTTGGGTTGGGCTGGTTCTGGCCTTGGTGAACGGGGATGAGGGGAGCCCCCGGGAGGCATTTCTAAAGGTAGAAGGAGAGTGAAGCCATCCTGCCCAAGAGGGTAGAAGAAGAGAGAAGCTCAGAAGGAATGGGTCATGCTGTTCGGTTGAACTTGCTGCTTTTTAAGCCCCAGCCCAGGTCATTGTGTCTAAATATAGGCACGTCAGAAGCCAGCCAGAGAAATGCCCACCGAGCAAGGCCCCCGCGGAAGGTCAAGCCCTGCCCGTGGAGGGAAGATGCCCAGATGGGGCGACCTTGTGCCCAGGGCAGCGCTCCTCTCCCGCTGTCTTCACGGTGCGTCTGTGACTGCTTCCTCCACGGCCTCCCTCTCCCCTCGTGCAGGTGCTGCCATGAAGTCTGACCTCTGCTGACCGGACCCAGGCAGGAGGCGCACAGCCGAGAGAGGCGGCCTGCAGCCAGTCGCCATGGCTTCCCCCATGGCAGAGAGCCAGCTGCAGAGAATCATCCGCGATTTGCAAGGTGCGTCTGTTGGGGGAGGGGGAGGCACGTGGGGCTCGGCTCGGGGGGGAGCTGGGGCTGTGCTCCTGCTGTCGCCCTCTCATGCTTGTCACGCGGGGAGTAATGGGAGCCCTGGGGACACGGCGTGTGGAAGTGTTTGGGGCCCGGGTGTCCACCCCAGGTCAGGCTGGGAGAGCTGGCCTGGCTCTCCTCTTAGGGTACTATGAAGTCAGTTTGTGAACAAAATCCACTACCCTTTTCTGGGTCTGGCTCTGCTTTCAGTATGTGTGTGTGTATGCATGTTTTCAAGCCACCTGTTAAGTCTCTGGCTGAATCATGAGCCTTCAGGCTCTAATGGAGTTGGCTCACTTGGGGAGGCATGTTCTCCTTCCCTTTGAGCAGGATGACCAGGCACCCGCCTTTCTTGTTTTGCTGTCCTCCCTAGTCCTGGCAGGCGGACAGCCTACCTCCTATGACGCACTGTAGTTCTGGGCCTGCTGCCTCCCAGACTTCCCTGAGCTCAGCAAACCCACTGAGACTCGTAACTCTCATCTCCCTGGGGAAGGGCAGGGGAGGGGAGGTACACGAGAAGTGGAGTAGAATCAGGAGGAGAGTCCAGGGCCCGAGTTCACCCTTCTAGGTGATATCCCAGGGGTCAGAATTCTGGCAAGTTTCCCACCCCCCTGCAAATCACTGGCTAGCACATTGGCTACCACACGGTCTGAAGCTGACCACTTCCTGCTTGTCGCAAGGATTACAGTGATGCTCTCCCGACAGACTGAAGGTCCAGGTTCCTACCTGCTCAGGCCCAGTGATGACCAACTGCAGTCTGTCACACCCAGGGCCACTGGGCAAGTGGTGGCCACTGTATGCTTCTCATTCTGCACATCAAAAGGCGCTAAGATAAAAGTCACTCTCAGGCTTCTCTACCCATTTATATAGCATTTGGGGCCTTGAATAGCTAATAATCATATGGCATTTCACATTTACCAGGCACTGTCCTACACATGCCTTATGGATAATGACTCATGGAGTCCTCACATTTGGTCTGTGAGGTAGGAACCATTACCCCAATTCTGCAGATGCAGAGACAGGCACAGAGAGGTTAAGTGACTTGCCTAAGGTCACACATCCAGTCAGGCAGAGCCTGGGTTTGCACACACACCAGGTGCCAGAGTCTACACTCAACCACACCAGCCTACTTCCAGCTAAAATATTAGCTGGGTTTTTTTCTTAAGCCTACACACATGTGCGCACACACACAGAAGCAGAGAAAGTAAAATGACAATCTCTGCAAATCTGAGTTCACCACTGGCCTTGAGAAGTCTCTCCACAAAGTAGGCCCTTTTTCCTGCGTGTCAGTCTCTGGTTTTCTGGGATGACTTTGGGACCCAGATGTCTTTACTGGGAGGGAAGAGAGAGGAAGAGAGGACCCCCCTGCTAGTGCTCCTGATCCAGGGAGGAAGACAAGCATTGGCATTGTTCAGGAGCCCTTTTCACCCCACATCCTGGCTGGTCTCATCGTCCCCGACATCCCAAGGCCGTCTCAGTGTCCCTCACCCAGCCCGCTGAGCGCTTTGACACACTGCTTTCTCAAGACTCTTCCCTTGCATCTGTTGGTAACTGTCCTCGTCGGCACACACGAAATCTCTGGCATGGAGCATAGGAACGGTGCATCCCTAACTGAGGTGTCCTTGGGCAGCATGTAGCCTTCGTGCCTCTGCAGGGCAGCCCACTCATCCTCCTGGTGACAGCAGTGACGAGGGCCTTGGGGTCAGCTCCTGGCTCCGCCTCTTCACCCTAGAAGAAGTTGGACAAGTCCCATCACCTTTCCAAGGTCCTGTCCTCTTGCTCCTTTCACATGCTAGATCAGCTTGATGATGACACCCACTTCTCAAGATTGTTGGCAGAGGCAAAAGTATAATTCACAGAAAACTAAGATTATTCATAAGTAATGCACTTGGATTAGCAGAGATTAGAGCTGAACACTTCCTATTCCATACGCAAGGCTCCTCCTTTCAGAATTTCAGGAGTTCCCAGATCAGGTTGTGAGCATTAACCCCACCTGAGGGTGGGGGAGGAAGGCTGTGCGTCTTCCCTGGTCCTGCCCGCCCCCCGCCCCCTGGCTCTCTCGATGCCAGCCGCAGCAAACACTTCTAGAGGATGCCAGTGCCACTGGGTAGCAGTCATTTGGTCTAAGAATCAGTCCCAAGAGCCTGTCTTTGCCTTTTGCTGACCTCTGCCCGAGGGGTCAGTGTCGATGAAATTTTAGCAGCTCAGGCTCAGCTTCGGTGCTGGGCAGGTCTGCTTTCCAGCCATGGTTCTAGAAAGCGGGGGCTGGGGACGCCTCTTCCTTACGAGCCATCACAGAGCAAGACGGTTTTGTGCATCGTGCCCCAACCATCTCGACCGGGAGCATGCTTCCCAGTATCTACACCAAACCCAGCTTCTTGCCGTCCCTCTGTGCCACAGCAGAGGCTGTAAGTGAGAATAAAGGTGGTTTTCCCTCTTTTCTGCACAGGGAGGTCGATTGTCTTAGAAGTGGAGAGGCAGGCTCCAGAGTCAGAAAGCCGTGGAGAAAACAGGCTTCTCATTCCAGCTCTGCCGTTTGCAACCCGTGGTCTCTGGCCAAGTGCTCTGACCTCTCCCGGAGTTCCTTATCTGCCAAAGAGGGATGATGATATCAGCCTTCGTCATTCTCCACTTGTACTTTTCTTCCCCCCACATTTTAACCGTTCTGAAATTGGAATCCTCTTAAAACCAGTTGCTTGTTGGATTTGTGGAAATAAAACCATGCCCCCCTCACAGTGCTGTATTAAATGAGAAAGACATGCAAAGGCCTGGCCCCTGATGGGCACTCAGCTCACAGAAGCAGATTCATTGTTGTCATTCTTGGGGTTGTTCTCGTTACTCTTATTTGCACATTCTGGGTCTTCTTGAAGCCGGGACTTAGCCTGTACTGAGCAGTAGGGTTATAGTGAGGAACAACAAGACACAGGGCCAGAAGGAAGGATAAAGCTTTCTGGAAGTCAGTATGAGGGGCCTGCTGAGTGATTCATGCACGTACCAAACCTTCATTGACCAAATCCTGCATGCATATTACAAGGCCTGCAAGGTGGGCCTACAGGGAGGACCAAGAAATGTGCCCAGTCAGGGAACAGTGGTAGAGTACTTGTGGGCTCTCTGGATCCCTGAGCACCTTCAGACTCAGCATTCCCTCCTTCTAGGGTTACATCCCACTTTCTGCTTCCCAGGTGCTCCGCCATCACTGACCACTTACTTCTCGTGCTTCCCGGGGTTATTCTGCTTCTCTCTCTGAGGCCAGTTACGTGTTCCCGTTTGTTGTCTTAAAGATGCTGTGACAGAGCTAAGCAAAGAATTTAAGGAAGCAGGGGAGCCCATTACAGATGACAGCACCAGCCTGCATAAGTTTTCTTATAAACTTGAGTATCTCCTCCAAGTAAGTGACTCCTGTACTGCGTTGATTTCTGCTCTGTTCTCTTGTTTCCCTCTCGAGTGACTCATCAGCATTCAGGATGTGGTTCAGACAGCTGTGGGGAGCCAGTAAGCCCTCCTGGTTAGACTGAAGGTCTGACAGCCCCGGGTCTCTTGGAGCTTGAGCCTCCCAAGTGCGAGCCTCTGGAGCATCGGAATGTTGCCCCTTAGGATGATTGTGGGCATCAAGAACATTCTTTAGAGATTTAGATCATCTTAAGGCAGGTCACAGGGTCATTGACTAGCAGAGATCTTAACTTTGGGGCAGTCGCATCCGCCTTTGAGAGTCTGGTGAAAGTTGTGGGATCTCTCCCCAAACAGACATGCCTGTTATGTGTACACACCCAGTCACCCACTCTCTAGGAGTGTGTGGACTCTCTGAAGATTATCTAGAAGCTCCCATTTTGGAGCCTTGCTGCTCTGAATGGTGGGGTCCACAGAGCAGCAGCATCAGCATCACCGGGGAGCAGGTGAGAAATGTATTCTCTGTGCCCACCTGACTTGCTGAATCAGGATCTCTGAGGTCAGCCCAGGAGTTTTGTCTGAACATGCTCACAGTGTAATGCTGATGTCTGCTTACTTGAAGCACGGATCTAGAGAGCTCTGCAGATGTGAAAAAACACAGGCAATCACAGGAGGCAGGAAGGAAATGGACCAAAATTTTTTTTTTTTTTAAAGATTTTATTTATTTATTTGACAGAGAGAGAGAGAGCGAGAGCAGGAACACAAGCAGGGGGAGTGGGAGAGGGAGAAGCAGGCTTCCCACCGAGCAGGGAGCCTGATGTGGGACTCGATCCCAGGACCCTGGGATCATAGAAATGGACCAAAATATTAATAGAAGTTATCTTAGGGAGGGGGTGTTGGGCATTATGATTTTTTTTGCTTTTCTAGTTTTATCCAGATTTTTCTAACAATGTATGTATCTTAACTTCCATAACCAGAAAAAAAACACTATAAAATGTTATGTTATAGAAAGACACACCTTTATCCTTTTGAACACCGAAGTGTGCAATGTCATATCCCAGCAAAGCCCAGCTAGGGAATGAGCGCCTGCTGGAGGCAATACCCCAACGTGTTGAGAGACTCACATTTCAGTCCCTTTTCAGCTGCTTCTATCTTCCACTGGGACATGATTTATGGACCGTTTTTGTTTTCAGTCCGCCCGTTTTGGTTTTGGATTTGAAACGACTGATAGCTGGCATTAATTTGGATTTATTACATATATATTAAAATAGTGTTGAAACTTAAATAGCCAGGGTAAGATGTGTTGAACTCATTTCCCTAAGTTGAAATAAAGTTGACAGTCTTCATGTTGCCCTCGAGACTTTTTCTCAAATGTCCGCATCCTGTGTGAACAGCCCCTTTGGTGGTCTTCCACCCAGCTCTATGCACAGAGGTCCTTCAAGGGAAAGTCTTTCTGGGGGGCTGTTACTCCTGAATCCCACTAGCTGTGTGACCCTGGGCCAGCTACTTAACCTTTCCCAGCCTCAGTCTCCTCATCTGTAAATTGGGGGTTGAAACACCATCCCTCTTTTGCCGGTCAATAAAAATGGCGCCTGTAAAGGGCCTCATCCAGGACAGGGTGACTAAGAAGCTGTTGCTGTTATTGATCATTTAAATGGTGGGATGATCAGCCATGCATCTGGCCCTCCTCTCTCTGTCCCTCTGTCTCCACAGTTTGATCAGAAGGAGAAGGCTACCCTTCTGGGCAACAGGAAGGACTACTGGGATTACTTCTGCGCCTGCCTGGCCAAGGTGAAAGGAGCCAATGACGGGATCCGATTCGTCAAGTCGATTCCAGAGGTAAGCAGAGTGGCCAAGGTCCTCGCATCTTCCTCTCTCTGCCTTAGCATCTCTTGCCCGGACCTGTGCTGCAGACAGCTCCGTGAGGAGGTAGGGGTGGACAGCTGGTGAGGAAGTAAGGAAATCCGGGCACACTCAGTGCCCAGTGCTCGCTGAGGGAAGCCACCAAGGGAGCGCCCACCAAGCAAGAAATGGCTTGGTCCTGACTCTGTTCTTCAGACCACGAGCATGCGCTGTCTCAGAGTGGGCTGCTCACACTGAGGCTATTTGTGGGGCCCATCGAGGGCGTACAGCACAGGACCGCCTCCGCCTTTTCGAAAGAATTAGTTCCTTAGATAAAATTCTTAGAGTTTACTAGGTGCTTTCCCTATAATTTGTTCAGGAAACTTGTATTGATAATGAAGAGAGTGATGTGAGACCTCAAGGAACGTTTCTTAAAATGCTGGTTATGCTAAGCAGCTTCCCACATTCAGTTCTATGTCGCTTGAGCAGACAGCCATTGCTTTGCTGTTTTAGAAAACTCCAGAACAACACATTCTCCCCCCTCTCCTTTCTCTCTCTCTCTCCCTCCTTCCTTCCATCTCTTGCTTGCCCTCTCTCCTTCCCCCCCACCCCCCGACCTTCAGCCTAGTCCCTCTGGGAGTGAAAAACTGCACACTCAGGAGTGAGTAAACCCCTAGGTTTCGGTCAGGAGGCCTATAGGGTTTCTCCATTTTGTCTCTCTTTCCAGCATCTTGTCAGTATGTTTGGAGTCACTGTAAAGCCGGCAGCCGTGCTCCTTGGCCGGCCTCCCACAAAGGCCGCAGAGTCAGGTGCTCTGAGATCTCTTCCCGCTCCCTGCCATCTGGAGCCAGACAGGCTGCTTCTTCTAGAGAATGACAGTGTTAGGTACACGGACAGCGAGGGCCGAGCATTTTCCAGTCTCTGACATCTGAGAAAATGAGGAAAGACCTTCGCTGTGAAGAGTCTGTTCCTTGGATTTCTTTAATGTCCGTGCAGCGCCACGGTCTTGTGAGAACTTGCCTGGCGGGACCGCCGGGTCCCTGACATAGAGCGTTTTGATGCGTCACACACCTGGAGAGGGGTCTCATCTCCTCTCCAAAGGTCTGGAAGAAGTTCCTAGCGTCACTGTCCTGTCTTCCACTCCTCAGAGCAACAAAGACCTTTGACTTTACGGCTTCAGACAGCTGAAGTCTGGAAATAAGCTTAGCTTAGTCCCCATGGCCCAGGGTTAAAAAATGCTTAAATCTCCTTTTTGCATAAGGCACAGACCTCTAGACAATCCGAGGCCAGGGAGACCGACTTCTTGAAGCAAAAAGCACTCCCTACTTGCACAGACATTGCTGGTTCCTGGCGGCTCTGTGGGCTCTGCTTCCCACAGGCTCCAGTTGTCTCATCCCCGTGCAAGGCTCTGCTCTCCTGAGCACCCTTGGGTGGAATGACTTGGAAGGGCACTGGGCCACAGGGCTGCTGGGTACTCGGGCTAACTGTAACAATCAAGTGTTGTCCAGGCCGCCAAGCCAGAAGGTAAAAGTGAATGGATAAGATGCCTTGCTGAGCCCCTCAGGCCCTCATGGGCTCGGAGGCAGCCTTTTGGGCTAAAATAGCCTAAGGCTATATAATCAGCCACTTCTAGAAGTTCAGAATAAGCCTAGCCCGAGCTGTGTGACTTTTCCCCGAGATGGACAAGGTCCGAACCAGGGTGCAGCTTGGCGTCGGGCTGTCAGCACAGTGATCTGGCTGAAAGCAGAATCCGCTCTTGTGCACCCTGCAGACTTCCTGCCCTTCACTGCTATTGGGTAGCTTCTTGGTATAGTACAGGTAGATGGGTTTGGGCCAGATGCTAAAAACATGACCTAAAAATTAGGTCATGAACGTGGACCCGTGATCTCAGAAGATAAAAAATAAAAAGCTGGGCAGTATTTTCACTTGCAGTACAAAGGAACTATTGATCCCCTCCCCCAAAGGATGTTTCAAGATGCCTCTTAAAATAAATAGCTCCATGTATATGTACATATATCAAATCAATTTGGTTAATAGGGCTGATTAAAAACATAGCCTCAAATGTTTGGCACTGAAAGGGTCTTAATGTTCTAAATGCTGTTACAGTGGCCATTTTGCTATTAAGGACAAGCCCATCCCTGGGGAGCTCATGGACATGGGCTGTCGTGTGAGGGTCTTATTAAATTCTGCAGGGCCTGTGTGTGGACGTGTCTGTCCGACCCACACACTTGGCTTCACAGTGCCTTGCTCAGCTGTTCCGAGCTGCCCTGAGTTTGCTGGGCATCACCACTGAACACTCCATTCGCCCTCGCTCATCAGTGGAAAAAGTATTTGGACGTGGGGCTGTCCTCACGATTCTCCCCAGGGCGTCTGTCCTGACCGGCTCTCTGCAGACATGCCATTATGGTTTTTCTAAAGCCAGTATGTCAGGCTGCCACCCACCTTCACTTCTAGGTGTCCTGACCATGCCCTGGACTCACAGAGTGCACACAGAGACACAGCTTACAGCCCCTGTACTTCATGACACTTCACACCTTTTTATTTTTTAAAGTGACTTCATACCGCGGTATCATTTCCTTGAGTCAGCAGTAAGGAGACCTACAACTCTGAGGTAAAAGGTGCTGTAGCCCGGGATGTTTACACCTTCGTTAATATGTCAGTGCTTGAGGCTATACCACACATTTCCTGTCTCAGTCCGGTGCCATGACTGGTTTCTCGATAGTATGGGGTGTTAGGACCATCTGTCCCCGGTCCCCCACCACGAAGTTAAACGTTTCTGACCTTTGAAGAGGCGAGGAGGGTATATGGGTCTTTACTTATCCGACCCAGACCCCGAGCCTGACAGAACTGGTAGGTTGAGAGGTTTTGAATTCGTGCCCACTTATCTTGAACTTCTGGAGCTGAACCATTGGGAATGAGTCCTGTTTGGCAAACTGGCTGTGTGTGCCCATCGCTGGCAGAGTCTCTGGCCAGCACACCCCACTTCCCTCCCAAGAACCTTCCAGAAACCTCTTTAGAAGCCACGTTTTGGCACTGTGAGGTGAGGTTTCAATGGCAGGCCTGCACCTGGACCCTCCTGTGTTGTCCACCTCAGACTTCCTGAAACAGAGCCACACCCATTTGTTCTTTACCCCAGTGTGCCCGGGCCACCTAGACACCTCTGCTCTCTCTCTCCTCCTGGGTACCTTCTGACTAAGTGCAGTGAGCTGGCATATCTTAAGCAAATCCAACCAGGAAAGCATTGACACATACAGATTTTACTGAGGGTTTCAGGAGAAGGCCGTCATACATCTATCAGAACTTCTTAAAAGTCCCCCTGACGCACCCCTGCCCTTGCCCTCCTCTCTCCTCCCCCTCCCACTGGGGCTTCAGCCAAGCCCCATGGCCTCTTCCCCTGATCCTCTTCTCCCAGCACCTCAAAAACAAGCCCAGACATTAGCCAAACTGAGACCATCTCTTGCTCAAGTTCACTTCTGATGCGAGGAGCATTTCATTTGACCTGCCTAGCTTTATTCTAAATAGTCCAAATTAAATCAAATGCAGTTTCACACGTGACTCTAAGCCCAGAGCTTCTGATGGAGCAGGGGAGGGAGAATGACATTCCCTGGAGCACCCACAGATGTTTCAGAGCCTCTCATGAACAGGTCTCCCTTGACACACGTTTACTGGAGTCTACAGGTTATTCTCAGATGGGGGCCTACAAGAAGTCTGCCTGCTGCAGGCCTCACCCTCTGGGGTGACGTGAGGCCACGTCTGCACCTGGAGTTAGGCTAACAGCTCTTCTTTTCAACATCATCTGCTTTTTCCAGCTCCAAACATCTCTGGGAAAAGGAAGGGCATTTATCCGCTACTCCTTGGTGCACCAGAGGTTGGCGGACACCTTACAGCAGTGCTTCATGAACACCAAGGTGACCAGGTAAATGCATGGCAGTGCTGGGCTCTACCCAGTGAGCTCGAGTCCCCTCATTAGTACCGAGGAGCCCCCAGCCGTCCTCGGTGTATGGGGGGCGGTAGCATGGTGTGTTGACAGGTGAAGAGACGAAGCTCAGAGGGTCTGAGTGCCTTTCTCTAGGCCCCACTTATGCCGGGTCACAAAGCAGGAGCTTGGAGCCAGACCTCTGAGCTCCTGAGGCCAGGTGGCTTTCCCTCACGGATGGCATGCCCTCGGTGCCGGCCCTAATGAGTGGACAGACCCCACCGGCCAGCGGGGCCAGTGGGCTGCAGCCTTGGCTCTCAGCAGAATCAGCTGTGGGGTTTTTAACACCTCCAAGCCCGGGGCCTCACCTGAGACCCTGAGTCAACGCCTGCTGGGTTTGTCGGGGCTCCTCTGAGGTTGTGGTGAGCAGCCAGATTGGAGCCCCGCTTATTGGTGGGGTCGGCCTTTGTGCGGCTGGTGCTAAAACCTGGGTAGGCAGCGGGCGGGGAGGGAGGGGATTGAGCATGTAAATGGGGTGTCCAACGGAGAGCTGCAGCTCAGGCCCCTGGCAGCCGAACCTCCCTGGGTTTCCACACCCTTTTCCAGCGCTGCCTCCCCTCTCCCCAGGGAGTGTTCTTCCAGTCAAAGAAATCACTTGTGGATTAAAAAAAAAGTACTGGTTGGGGGAAAATACTGGGTTTCATTTTGTCACCTCTAAGATTGATTTGCATAAAGACGTATTTCTCAAGCATGTGATAGGCTCTGTGAATTCATGTGAGCTGAGAACCTTCGCACATTTGATCTGAAGAGTATTTCGTTCTAGATGTTTGAGAACCGTCACCAGCAGCTTGACTTCCAGTGCGTCACCTTTTCACGGACGCCAGCCAAGTAGCTCTTTAGGCCCAGCAGTGTTGTCTTTCTCAGTTCTTACTGCTTCACACCTCAAAGTGTGGCTGTTTGGTTTCTTGGCTTTAAAATTGGTGTCTGGACAGACCTTAGCCACGAGCTCACTGTCCTATATTGAATCCTCTAGAGGAATAGAAGATGAGGTTATGTTTCACAGAGGAAGTGTTCTTTCCCCTATAACTGCCCCTTTCCTGGCAGATAACTGAGATTTAACTTTTCGCATATCCTTTTTGGGGAATAGATATGATGTAAATAATAAATGAATAAGCATCTAGTTCGTTTCAGTGATTTCCTTGAAGAAGAGCAAGCTTAATTGAAAGTTAGGTGCTCCTATAGTGAAAATAAAATTGGGGAGTGAGTGTGTGTGTGTGTCCGTCCCCGCCCGTCCCTGTCCGTCCCTGTCTGTCTGAATTTAACTTGTTAGTAACCCGAGTGAGAATTTGATAAGCCATATCAAATTCAGTCTTTCCTTACCTTTAGTATCCTTATCATCAATCCCTTTTTCTGCTTCCCTGCAGTGACTGGTACTACGCAAGAAGCCCCTTTCTGAAAGCGAAGCTGAGCTCTGACATCGTGGGTCAGCTCTATGAGCTGACCGAGGTTCAGTTTGACCTGGCGTCGAGAGGCTATGACTTGGACGCTGCCTGGCCAGCGTTTGCCAGGTATTTTGAAGAACTGCTTGGTTGAAAAGACTGGGGGAAGAGGTGTTTGAAGTTCCAAAGGTTGCCGCCAGTCTACTCAAAGCAGCTTGGTCACTCAGTAAATTACATAAGGCTTTGCAACTCTTATGCCTACTAATTTTCTAGACTTTGTTGAGTCGTGACTAATGATAATATCAGAAGGCTTCAACTCAAAACTCTCCTAACTCTCCTAACCGGCCAGGTGGTATGAGTCAGTGGAAATGCATATGCAAAACCTGAGGTTTTTTAAGTGTGTTAAGGGACTTGGGGGTGGCCAGTGGGGGAAGCCAGCGGGCTTTTTCCTATTCGTGTTCTTGCAGAGTTACCACGGAGGCCTTGAAGGCAATAGGAGAGGGAACTACAGCATCCATGGAAGGGTTGCTGGAAATGCACGCTCACCTGCCACTCCAGGAGGGAGATGGGAAGGGACAGTCTCAGACAGTGGGTGACTTACCCACAGTCGCCCAGCACCGCCAGGGCGCCAGACTCGAGTTCAACTCCAGTTCAGCGTTTATTTATTTTTTTGAGAGAGCGCATGCACGCGTGAGAACTTGCGCATGTGCACATGTGTGCGCTCTTGGGGGTGGGGGAGAGAGAATCTCAAGCAGGCTCCATGCCGGGTCAGAACCTCAATCTCACAACCCTGAGATCATGACCTGAGCCGAAATCGAGTTGGCGGCTTGGGGCGCCTGGGTGGCTCAGTTGGTTAAGCGACTGCCTTCAGCTCAGGTCATGATCCTGGAGTCCTGAGATTGAGCCCCACATCGGGCTCCCTGCTCAGTGGGGAGTCTGCTTCTCCCTCTGACCCTCCCCCCTCTCATGCTCTCTCTCTCTCACTCATTCTCTCTCTCTCTCTCAAATAAATAAATAAAAATCTATTAAAAAAAAAAAAAGAGTTGGCCCAGGCACCCCCTGGCCCAGCATTCTTTGTTTTGCTTTCTGTTAATACAGATTGTTTTAAATGTCAATTTTTATATTTTTTATTAGGAAATATTTTCTATATAGAAAAGAGTCCTGAATATGATGACACCCATGTGCTGACCACCAAGATGAAAAGCTAATATTCTGCCATATTTACTGCACATGTCCTTTTTAAAACTTTTTAATTTTGAAATCATTTCATAATTACAGCAAAGTTGCCCCCAAAATGCCACATTCATCCAGCCTTTACCTCGACTCCCCAATTATCAGTATTTTACTGCCACTGTTTTATCACTCTTTCTCTTTATCAATACATGTTGGTTTATTCCCTAGGCCATTTGAGAGAAAGTTAACACACTTGATTCCGCTTGACTCCTCAGTACTCACTGTGTACTTCCTAAAGTCAAGGACACCCTCTTATGTTTAACCTCAGTGCAGATATTAAGATCAGGAAATTAACATGGATAGAATGCCACCGATTTACAGATTCTAAGAATTATGCCAGTAACGTCTTCTATACTCCAGGAGCTGGCCCAGAAATGCAAGCTGCAGTTAACACCAGTCTCTCTGGTCTTCTTGAATTTGGAACTGTTTCTCAGTCTCTTTCACAGTGTAGATATTTTTGAAAAGCACAGGCCAGTTACTTTGTAAAATGTTCCTTCCTTAGAGTTTGTCTAGCGCTTTCTCATTGTTAGATTCAGGTTAAGCATTTCCAGCGGGAGTACCCAGATGCTGTGTCGTCCTCAGCACATTGGATGTCCGGAAACCCACAATGTTGATTGGTTTCATCACTGTGGCGGTTGACCATGACCATTAGGTTAAGGTGGCATTTGCCAGATTTCTCTAAAGATACTCTCTCCCTTTGTAATCGGTATGTTTCATATGGGAAGATACTTTAAGATTAAGTTGTTGGGGCGCCTTGGTGTTTCAGTCTGTTAAGCATCTGCCTTTGGCTCAGGTAATGATCTCAGGGTCCTGGGATTGAGCCCCACATTGGGCTCCCTGCTCAGTGGGGAGTCTGCTTCTCCCTCCCCCGGCTCGTGCTCTCTCTCTCACACTCTCTCTCAAATAAATAAGTAAAATCTTAAAAAAAAAAAAAATTAGGTTTTTACCTCGCTTTTTCCTTAATATTTATGTATGTATGTATTTTTGTGAGCTCTGCGCCCAACGTGGGGCTTGAACTCACGACCCCAAGAGCAAGAGTCGCATGCTCTGCTGACTGAGCCAGCCAGGCACCCCTATGTATGTATGTATGTATTTATAGCAGAGTTGACTCATGGATTCTTATTTTAATCAGTGGGCTACATTCTGTCACTACAATCATTTATTTTGATGCTTAAATTGTTCCCTATTTGGCCAGTAGAAGCCCCTTTGAGCTGGATCTTTTGGGTTGTTTTCTTGTGGGTTTTTTTTTTTTTCTTTTTGGATGTTACCATGTCTGATACCATTCGTTTAGAAAATAAAAGATCACAGATCCAAATAAAGCCCCACCCCACTGTCATGCTCTCCCCTTTAATTCTAGAAGTAATCACAGCCCTGTAGTTGACACACGTCATTCCTGAATCTCTGTGTGTTACTACCTATGCAGTCATACATATTTTAATGTATGTGTGGTTTTATTTTGTATGTATTTATAAATTTTGCGTACATTGAATCATAGGTAGCTATCCTTTTACAACTCGCTTGTCTCATTTCACGTTGTTTTAGAGATTTTTATCTGTGTTTGTACATGCCTTTCTATGGCTGGAGAGAGCAGGTCAACCAGCCACAGCCCAGAGGGCCGCACGGGCAGTGGCGGGGGGGGGGTGGTCACAGAGCTTCGCCCGTTCTTTACCTGTTGTCCGCGGCGGCTGATGTGCTGCCACTGTAGCCTGAGTCGTTGTGACAGAGACCAGAAGGCTGGCAGGCGTAAGGTATGTCTTGTCTGGCCCCTCATAAGAAAAGACTGCCGACCCCCCGTGTAGAGTGTCCCGCTGTACGACTGAAGGCCAGTTTACCGGCTTCCCGGTGGGACAGAGTTAGGCTGGATCTGCTGCCTTCACTTCCACAGTGTGGCCCCCAAGCCCGGAGTCACCTTGACTTGCAGACTGACTGCTGCTCTCCCCTCACTAGCAGACAGACCGTGACAGGCACCAAAGGTGTAAGGAAAATTTCAACCCCAAATTGGAAAATGCCAGGTCCACTTAGTTCTTCTTTGGCAGCAGGTGGAAAGGCCTTACATTCAAACTTGGCAGTGAAGCCCGTCAGCCGCGGGCCAGCGTAAATGTGCTCTTCGGTAGAAGCTGTTGGGTTTTTGGCTTTTGACACTCTCTCTGGGAGGGCAGTGCCCCCTGCCACCACCTGGGTGCCTTGTGATAATCAAGGCCTCTGTGTGTCCTGATCTGATACCGTCTGTCTGTCCTGTGGCCCCGCAGGAGGACACTGGCCCCCGGCTCTTCTGCTTACCTGTGGAAACCCCCCAGCCGCAGCTCCAGCATGAGCAGCTTGGTGAGCAGCTACCTACAGGTAATGCCGGAAAGGCTGGGGATTTCCTCACCGACACGTCAACCGGGCTGTGCCCTGGCCGCTCGCAACTCAGGGCGATATTCTCAGGCACCTTTTGTTCCAGCTCGAGTAATACAAACCGGGTTTTTATGACCCAATTGAACTTAGGCCTTTTAAAAATTAAATTCTGTTAGAAGCTTTTCAGGTATTTTAAAGGAAGCAATTTAGGTCTTGGGTTAAAAGCAGCGGAGTCAAACGCTGTCACCCACCAGTCGTGTGACCCCGGGCAGACCACTTAACCCTCTTGAAACTGGAGTGCTCTCATCCAGAAAACGGGGGTCATAGGAGTCATTCTGGCTCAGACGGTGATGGTGCAGCTCGAGCGAAGGCGCCTTAAGGGCTTGACACAGGCGAGTAAGTGCTCAGGAAAGTGCTGGGGAAAGTTCGCGGGTCAGGTGAATTTTGTTAATTGTGTCACAAATGTGAATGTATCATAGTCGCATATAGTTTTAAAGGTAAGAACAGTGCAGTTAAAATTAAAATACAATGACATAAAAATAGTAGAAGATTACGAGTGGAGAATAAATTGAGCTTGAGCCCTGTTGCGTGGTTGAATCGCATCAGGAGCTGTAGGTGTGGTGCAGTGGTGAAGAGGAGTTTAAATGTAACCTAATGAATCTAAGCGCCAATGTCCATTATGCTCCCAACACTCCAGGAGGCTGGATGGGACGTGCAGGCTCTGAGAGCCCGGGGAGCTCACGTGCGTGGCATCGCGTCTTTAGGATGTTCTCTGACCTCCTTTGGCGGGTTCTTCCAGCGAAGTGCTTCTAGCCTTTTGAAGGGCTCAGTAGACTCGCTCTTTAATGACTTCTCATTGAGCTCTAAAGCTTTTCCCCGTGGCCGTGGAGCTTCTCTCCCAGGGCCACTTGTGTTTTGTTTTTCCTCCGCAGACTCAGGAGATGGCCTCCAGCTTTGACGTGAGCAGCCCCTTAAACAACGAGGCACAGGAGGGCTTTGACGAGATGCGGCTGGAGCTGGACCAGCTGGAGGTGCGGGAGAAGCGGCTGCAGGAGCAGATGCAGCAGCTGGACAGAGAGAACCAGGAGCTGAGGGCGGCTGTGAGCCTGCAGGGTGAGAAGCTGCAGACGGAGAGGGAGAGGGGCCGCGCCGCTGCTGAGGACAACGCCCGCCTCACTTGCATGGTGGCCGAGCTCCAGAAGCAGTGGGAGGTCACCCAGGCCACCCAGAACGCCGTGAAGGAGTTCCAGGAGTGCCTGCAGGCCCTGGAGCTGGGGGCAGCAGAGAAGGAGGAGGATTACCACTCGGCCGTGCGGCGGCTAGAATCCATGCTGCGGCCCCTGGTGCAGGAGCTTGAGGCCGCACGGGACCTGCTGGGCGGGGAGGACCGGCATTCAGCTAATGTCCCAGCCCAGCCGGGTACGGCCGAGCAGAAGGCAGATGCGGCACCAGACACACGGGGGCAGCAAGAGCTCCTCCCCAGCGCCTCGGCCCTGGAGGTCCAGGAGCTGCGGGAGAAGCTTCGAGCCCTGGAAGGAGAGAGCACCAAGGTGCAGGAGCTCAACAGGCAGCAGAGTGGCCAGCTGGAGCAGTTGGCCAAGGAGCTGCAGCTGAAGGAGGAGGCCCGGGCCAGCCTGGAGCGCCTGCTGGAGGAGACGGCCCCGCTCCGGGAAGAGCTGGCCGGGAAGGGGCATGAGGCAGCCCAGCTCCGGCGGCAGCTACAGGAGTCCCTAGGCCACCTGAGCTCCCTGGAGCAGGAGTTGGCGGAGGTGAGGCAGGGGGAGAGGCAGCGGCGAGAGGAGAAGGAGCTGCTGCAGCAGGAGGCCAGGTTCCTGGCACGGCAGCCGCGGCTCCTCGAGGCCCAGCTGGCCCAGCTGAGCCGGCACGTGAGTGAGCTGCAGGAGCAGAAGCGGCAGCTCATCCGGGACAAAGACCACCTCAGCCAGAAGGTGGGGGCGCTGGAGCGGCTTGCCGGGCAGCCGGGCCCAGATCTGCCCACGGCAGGGGAGAAGCCCGAGGCCCAGGGCCCCCTAGGTTCCACCCTGCAACAGGTCTTCAAGAAGCCGGAGGAGGAGCAGAGAAGCCCCCAGGAGGGCCAGACAGGTGATAGCCAGATGCGAGGGAACGGTCAGGAGGAGAAGCTCCAGCAGGCCAACAGGGAGCTGGAGAAGGAGCTGCAGAATGTGCTGGAGCGCAACCAGCTCCTCGAGGGCAAGCTGGAGGCCCTGCAGGCTGATTACCAGGCCCTGCAGCAGCGGGAGGCAGCCATCCGGGGCTCCCTGGCCTCCCTGGAGGCTGAGCAGGCCAGCATCCGGCACATGGGGGACCAGATGGAGGCCAGCCTCCTGGCTGTGAGGAAGGCCAAGGAGACCATGAGGGCCCACATGGCTGAGAAGGAGGCCGCCCTGCGGAACACGGAGGCCGAGCGTCAGCAGCTGCAGGAGGAGGTGGGGCTGTGCCGGCAGCTGGTAGAGGCCCGGGAGAGGGAGCTCGGGGCTCTTGAGCGCCAGTGCCGCCAGCAGACCCAGCTGATCGAGACCCTTACGGCGGAGAAAGGCCAGCAGGGACTCGGCGCACCTGAAGACCGTGCATGCCGGGAGCCAGCAGCCCAGCCGGCCCTGGGTCAGGCCCAGGTGGAGACCCAGCAGGGGGAGGCTGGGCACCTGCCGGCCGAAGTGCTAGACCTTCAGGCCAAGCTCCAGGCAGCCCTGGGTGACCGGGAGAAGGTACAGGGCCAGCTGAGCGTGGCTGAGGCCGCTCTGAGGGAGCACAGGGCCCTGGTACAGCAGCTGAAGGAGCAGAACGAAGCCCTCAAGAGGGCCCAGGGTCGGGAGCTGCTGCAGCTCTCAGAGCGGGAAGGGGCGCCGCGGGAGGAGAGGACTGAGGAGGAGGAGCGATCACGGGCCGAGAACCCACCAGTCCCAGAATGCGGCTCCCCGGAAGCCCAGCTGGAACAGGCCGAGCCGCAGGGGCAGATGCCCGGAGCTAGCGCAGCCACCGACGAGCCCGGCGTCCACGTCAGTGCGCAGCTGGCCGAGAAAAAGCAGACTGAGGAGGCTCTGGCCTGCGCCTTGCGGGAGCTCCGTGACGCCAAGGAGGCAGCCTCGAGGCAGCGAGAGGGCCTGGAAGAGCAAGTGGCAAGGCTGCAGCGAGAGAGGGACAGCGTGCAGGAGAGGCTGAAGGTGGCTGAGGAGGCGGCCCGCTCCTTGCCCGGCCTGCAGGCCCAGCTGGCCCAGGCCAAGCAGCAGGCCCAGAGCCTCCAGGAGACTGCACACGAGGAGCTCAGTGCCCTCAAGTTCCAGCTGAGCACCGAGATCATGGACCACCAGAGCCGACTGAAGGTAGTCCTCCCTCGCCTTGACCCCCCGGGCTGCGGTGGTCTCCTGCGGTGGGGCCCAATGGGTCCACGAGAGGATAGGATGTGCCTTCAGCCATGTGGCATGTGAGGACCCAAGAATGTACTGGGCGGCCGGGCAGACGCGACTGTCCTGCTCTCTAGGTCCCAGCACCCTTTCCCTTTCAGGGACACCTTAGGGGCACATGTTGGGGGCAAGGCCCTAGCCCAGAAGTCTAAACTCAACATGGTTGCAGACAGGTTTGGTTCACTCTGTGGTTCAGCCACAGAGTGGCTCTTTTACATCAGTAACCAACACTTAAAGAGCTGGATGTTTACAAATTCAGTTTGGGGGCTCCCTTTGAAATCTCAGGAGATTTTAAAGACTGTGCCCTCATTCCCAACCTGCAGAAGTCACCAGGAGCTGGGTAGTGGGTGCCCCCTTCAAAGGAGGTGTGCACCCTCTGGTGTTTTCCTTAACGCTCGTTTATGTACATGTCCAACCCCTCTGAGCCTGTGAGTTTGCCCTAGACCCTCTCCTAGCCTCTAGAACCTCTAGCCTGTGAGTCTCGTCTGTGGGTTTTCTGTCCCTTCGGGTGCCATCTCGATGGCAGGGGCTGTTGTGGAAACTGGCTCAGTGCATTTTCACAAAGCCTTTGGAGTAGACAGGCTTACGGGAACAGTGCTGACCATGAGCCTTGGTACTGCATAAAGGAAAAGGGTTAAGGGCGCCTGAGACCGAGGACACAAGCAGGATGGCCATGGGGCTTTGGTTTCCAGAGCTTACCACTTGCCCATTAGCACTGTGTTTTGTGCTCACTCCCAGACACACAACTATTGCATTTCTGCAGATGTGCCTGCAGTACCGTGTCCCCCATCTGTGCTGCTCCCTGTGGCTCATAGAGCGCTTGTGTCCTTGCCAAAACTAAATCCTAAGTGTGCGGACCAAGCTGAGTCTCTTAGTAAACTTGAAAGGATGTTGTCACCAGTGAAGCCCAAAGCTTATCGAGTTGGGTGAAAAAGAGAGAGGTAGCTTGTTTTTACCCGTCTGGGGGAATGGGGCTGAGGGCATCTCCGTGCCAGGACCCCACTTTCACGAGCCCTCTCTCATCATCTGCAGACTGCCAGTGAAGAGTGCCGGAACCTCAGGGACCAGCTTGAGGAGCGAGGCCGGCAGCTGCAGGCTGCCGAGGAGGCGGTGGAGAGGCTGCAGGTAGGCCCTGGGGAGCATGCTGGTCGGCAGCCTGGCCGCCTGGGCGGGGAAGACAGGCATGCCCGACTCGGCCTGGTCATTCCCACCCCCAGGGTGCGGGCCTGTCAAGGAGAGGGGTCTGGTTTGGTTTCCACTGGACCCTTTAGAAGGGTCGTGTGCAAGATTCCCAATTCCTAAGCCAAAGCTCCCATCCATTCACCTCTGTAGACGTCTTGAGCTTGCATCGCAGCCCCTTCTGCCTCCCGGGCACCTGGCTGGAGCCACCAGATGTGTTTCTCAGCCAGCTGTGTGGACAGGATACGAGGTGTCCTTCTTAGCTGCCTCCGCAGGCATGCCTGAGTCGGTGGTCCTGTATCGAGGGGGCTCACGGGGGAGGGGGGGGGTGCTGCAATCACCGTCTCCAGGGAACCCCGCTCCCTGCCACCCCACCTCCGCCCGCACCCCGAGATTTGATTCCCGCTGCCCCTCCTCCAACCTCCACCGCCAGTTGCAAGTAATACTTGACAGATAGGATTACAAACAGGAGTGGGTCACTCAAAGGTTCTCGGGCTCTTGAACTTAAAACAAAACCCTCTCCAGTTAGAAGTGACCTGGCCAGGTGGGGCGGAGTACCCACCAGTCCCTTTCTGGCCTGCGGCACAGGCTGTGGTCGGCTGAGTGTCTTCTCCCCGCTGTCCCATGCCAGGCCGCCCAGGCAGATCTGGGAGAGCAGCTGCGCGGCACCAGCAAGCGTCTTTCCGAGAGCCAGGCTGCCATGCAGAAGAAGGATGAGGAGGGGGCTGCCCTGCGTGACAGCTTGGACAGGTTAGTGATGCGCTTCCCGCCCACAGGGCCCCGGCCGCGGAAGCTTCAGGGAAGGGGGTGTTTGGTGCAGTCATTTAGAAACTCAGCCGCTCATAGCAGGTTAAAGAAGTCCTCTTGCAAGAAAAGCCACAGACTCGGAACGCACTTTGCCAGAAGCACGCCACAGGGGGCGGGCAGTCCGCCTCTCACCCCCCTGCAGGCAGCCGCTGAGCCTTTCTTGATGCCATTTTCCTACATGCAGGGCACGCTTCTGCTTTGGAAGAGCTGACATGAAATAAAAGTTGGAATATAATAGTGGTAATGATAACAGCAAACACTTAAATAATGCCCCAAATGGGCCAGGCACTATTTTAAACACTGCATCTCTTTGTCCTTTTTTTCCTCCTAACTCCTTTGAGGAAATTATTACTTGTCCCCATTTTATAGACGAGGAGAGTGAGGCTCAGAGGAGTTAAGTTGCTTTCCCAGCATCTGACAGCACGTGGGTGGTGGTGGGAGGTGCGACCCAGGTCGCTTGACTCCAGAGTCTGTTTCCTCAACAATTACCCTGAAAAGCGCACAGATACTTCTGTGTCTGCTCTCGTGTTAGGGTCTTGGGGTGTGTGTGTGTGTTTCCCTGCTACGAGTTGTGACTCGAGCTCTTCCTGGTTTCCTTTATGAAATGAGAGGCCGCAGGGCTGGGGGGGGGTGGTTCACAGGCACGTGCCCAGTGAAGGTGAGCGAGTGTGCCCAGCACCAGGCCGGCTGGTCTGCCTGCAGACATCATGCTGTCACCCTTCATCATAGTTGTCCTAACCTTGGAGCATGGCCCTGCTTGTGCAGCCCCAAGACTTCCCTGAGCGCCCTCATCTTCAGGCTGGGGGGCCACCCCTTTGGTGAGGAGGCCAAGGCAGTCCTGCCAGGGATGCTGCCACCCAGTCACCTGTGTGCCCCCAGCAAAGACTGGCACACCAAATTGTCCCAGGCCTTTACCTTTTCTGCCCATCCCTCGTTGCCTCCTACCACCCGGCTTCTAGGGTGGGTCCAGGCTCAGTGGGAGATCCAGAGCGTGTTGGGTGTTCAGTAACCCAACATGCACATTTCTTCTCATCTGATTCTTCCCGAGTTCAAACGCTGTAGGGCTTTGGCTGCCCAGGTCGTATTCACGTGACGATATAAATAGCAAGAACCTCCTAAGTTGGTGGCATTTTTTTAAAAAATGCTACAACAGTACTTATTTGTAAGATCTCAGAGCTGTTGTTTTAGCTGTTCAGTGTTGCATAATCTGTCCTGGATTGGGTTTTACTTCATTCACTGTGTGTGTGCGTGTGCATGCACGTTGCATGTGTACACCCATGAGATCATTTTGGTGGACAGTATCTCGTAAACAACGTTCCGACAGCTTTATACTGGGTATGGGAAGGCTGGATTAGATACAGATTACTTAGTCTCTGCAGAGCCCTGTGTTTAATGGAGCTTTTATGAACACCCTGCTGGACCTTGGGGTTTGTCGAGCATTCCCGGAGCACCACTGCCCTTGGGGACAGGCGAGCTGCAAGGAGAGCAGGCAAGGGCAGGAGGACCGTGCTTCATTAGGCCAGCCCTCGGCCATAGACTGAGCCGAGGGAACAGAGCTCCTTAGGCCTCCGGGCTGTCGGGTCAGCACCTGGCAGGGCACATCAAGTGCCCGCTGGGTAGCCCAGCACCGCGCCCTGTGCACAGAGCCCCAAAGACAACGTGGGAGACAGGTCCTCGTCCGTGTGGTCACCTCCAGAGAGATACACCCATGTTCTTTCTATTCCAACTCCATTTTCCTCTTGCAAAGCCCCCATCACCAGTGCGCCGCACTCTTGGGCTTCCCCTATAACCTCAGCCCCTGCCCCAAAACCAAGTGGTGCAGAGTTCAACTCACCTGGGGTGCTCCTCCTGCTCTCCCAGAATACCCATTGTATTTGGCGTGGGGGGTGGTGTGTGAAGAGTTTGGGGGTGCGAGGGGAGTTTTGAAGGCCGGGGGGTTGCACAGCTTGTGAGTGGGTAGTGCCGAGGGGCACCCCCACCGTGAGAGGGAAAAGGCTCAGACGGCAGCAGGACCCCTCGTTAGAGGCCCGAGTTAGCCCAGAGGCACGGGGGAAGTTGGAAGCAGTGGCTAATCAGTAGGCTTCCCACTTCTCCACCAGGACCCGGAAGGAACTTGAAAAAGCCATGGCAAAGATCCAAGAGTATTACAACAGACTCTGCCAGGAGGTGACAAACCGGGAGAAGAATGACCAGAAGATGCTCGCGGACCTGGATGACCTGACTAGAACCAAGCAGTACCTGGAGGAACGACTGATTGAGCTGCTCAGGTGAGAGTCGGCACCAGCAACTGGCTGGGGGCCTCCTCTGAGCTGGGGTTTCTCTTTAAAGAAATGCAGCTACTCTTGGAAGGCCTCTCAAGGGAAATGGGCCCCTGTCTGCTTGCGTTATGTTGTGGAGGCCCTCCCCCACACAGATGGGGTCCTCCCAGGCCCTTGGCAGCCTTGAAGAGTAGATTTCTCTGCTCCCAGTAGTGTTCAGCTGGGTTTGTGTTGTCATAGTGCTGGGGCATTATTTTCTTTTCTTTTCTTTTTTTTTAAGATTTTATTTATTTATTTGA